AGAGTGCTAGAATGAATTATGGCTTGTACGGCCCCTCATAGTAAAGCGTGGTATAAACAAACTGTGAAACTCGCGAGAAGGGATGCTGAAACATAGATGACGTCACTTTTTGTGAAAGAGTCACGTGGGATGTTTGTCAAGTGTGAACTGGGCTAGTGAACTTGACACTGGGCCAAAAGCAATAGTTTAGGGTTTAAAAAGTTCTACATTTTATTATTTTTTTTCACAAACACATTATTGTTTTGCTTCAGAAGACGAGAGGTCGTGTTGTGTGGTTTTTGAAGCCTACTTTGAGGATTCCATTCACTTGTTATATGGGCTCACAGAGATGGATTATTTAAAAAAAAAAGAAAAGCAGTTTGTTTTCAACAGAAGAAAGAAAATCATATACATCTGAGACGGCATGAGGGTGAATACATGATGAGATATTGTCGGGTGTAGTGTATCTTTAACCCGCACATAAACTGACAGACATAAATGATGCCTCAAATCATGCAGCTTGTTGAGGAGAGGCATGCCATTACTTTTCCAACAAATTTGCTAGTTTTGTCTGGCAGCGATAAAACATGCAAAAAAATCAGATAGACTTGGATTAAAAGTGGGAACCGAGTTATATCTAAAGATCAGAATATCATAGAGACTTACGGATAAACTGCACAGAAATAGTCTTAACATCCTCTCACACATTCGCATCTGAAAATGTAAAATCTAGTTTATTTGGATGTTTTGTGTATTAAAATCCCACGGTAATAAATGAAATACCAGATTTAATTCAAGTAAATGTAGTAATTAAAACTAAGCACCACAAATAATTGTAGTTAAACTTTTCTGTACATCATGCACAGGGATGCGGGAGATCGAGATGACCCCAGTGCATAAGCAGGTTGATGTTATTGAAATTTGTGGTTTTGCATTTTATCTTTTATCAAATAGGGTTGCCGACAACAATGCAAAGAAATCCTCCAGTTATGGCCGTACCGTTGTCACCATAGTAAATAACTGCTGCACATTGTGTTTGCATTCATCCCAGACAGACATCTGTCTGTTATGCAAATGCCAGACTCAATGAGTCCAGATCAAAGTTCCAGATCGTTGGCACAGACGTGGCTATCGAGCTCCTGCTGCAATCGCATTTCTTGAGAAGCCACTATGATCTGTTTGCTCTAAACAACATTGTGAGTCCGCTACTACTGGTGCCTGCACCTCTGGGATAATCGTGGGATAATTTCCAGAAGACAGTGAACATCAGAAGCTAATGTAGTTTAGTTTTTAGCAGATTCTGTATTCTGAGTCCATTTCTATTTGAAATATGCTTAACTGTATGAACAACATCACAAAAATGCTGTTCATTTTCTAAAAACATGCGGGACGGGCCATTCCAAGAATATTTCCTAAAAGTCTTAGAAGTTTAGGCTTTAATCTTTAGTCTAGTTCTGTTTAGGTGGTGCTTGATAAGGCCAAGGTGAGGGATTTTATAGTTATATGACCGTTTTATCACATCGTTCCAAATGCTATTCCTTTAATTGAACAGACTAGTGTTATTTGCCATATCATTTAGAGAATATCATAGAGAAAAGTGTTCATTTTGGTATTATTTGTGTACCATTATTTTAAATAATAATTTATTATTATTATTTTTTGCTTTTGACATTATTATTATTATTAATAATAATATATTTATATTTTTAGATTTATTTTCTCATTTTAGTGTATTTAGTAATTCAACTTAAATGTAGTTCTCAGTTTCCAAGCAACATTTAATTTGCTTAAGTTTTTTAAGGTTATTTTTTTATTCTAATATTTATATTTTGCTTTATTCCAGCTTTGTTTGAGTTGACAAATATATTTGTAATAGTTTTTAACAGTAACGACACTGATAGAGACTTATTTTGACTTGGACCGGTGTGCAACCACCCATAACACCGTCAACCGTTTAGCTATAACCGCATTAATTTTTTTATATTTTCATGTAATATACCAATATTATTGCTTGAATTATTGTGTATTGTAGCATTTTTTGTTTGTTTATGCATTATTAAAATCATGGAAGCATAAATGAAATATGCACAGTAAAACAAACACTTATGTAAAGTCGTTTTTGGCTGCAGTCAATGGCTAGTGACCGTTCTTTCTGCTCCGGTGTTTCAGAATCATTCATTTTTCTTTCATCTCATGACAGAATCAGCAGGCCCGCATCTGTCTGCTGTACCTGCCACTCTTTGAGCTGCTCTACCAGAACCTGAGTCATATGAACAGCCCGGGGCAACTCTGCAGAAATGGCCTCGGCCTCGTGGTAAACATGCATTTCTCTCTTATCTATGATCTCCAATGACTCGGTCTTCAGCTGTTTTGTGCAATCGATATTTTATAAAATGCATATTGCTTAATCAAAATTGAAACTCCATTGAAACTTCTCAAATGTCAGTCCAAAAAGATAAGACAAATCAGAGGCATTTAGAAAATATTAACAGGCTTTTTTGATATTTCATTGTTATCTTAACAGAAACAGACTGTGGAGTGGAAAACAACTCTCATTCGACTCTCAAATGTCCATCTGATACCTTTGAAATGGTTATTTTGCATAATGGTATTTTTAGTTGTACAGAATTAGAAGTATAATCTGAATCAGTCCAACAAAAAAAAACATGTTCTGTCTTGGAGTTTACAGATGGACAAATTGTTTTCCTATTTTTAGCTGTATTCTTTTGACAGCATTGTGTGTTGATTGTGGGTGTGTGTACGTTGTTTCAGTATTTACTGATTCGGTTTACTTTTGCACTGTTGTAACTCGAGACATGAGAGTGCTACATTCAAATGTCATGTCCTGGTGCAAATGTTAACCTTGCAAGTTTTTGATCAGCAGTCGGATAAACACTTCTTCTGCTCCTTTAGTACCGGGATGATTTGTCAGTGGACAGCCGCAGAAGCAGCACAATCGTTGATAAGGAACCTAGTGAGTATCAACGTTTTTTGCCAACGGATGTTAAAAGTAACACACACACACGCACGCACAGTACAATATGTGTACATTTGTCTGTGTTTGTGTGTTTCACAGCTGGTGCCATCACCCAGAATGGACACTTTAGGAAAGGAGAGTCCAGAAGCTCTATGTATGGAGATCCTGGCACTCCAGACATCAGTGAGGTGAAATAGAGACAGCTGTGATTTCACTACAGGTGGCCAGTGTTGGGGAACGTTACTTTTAAAAGTAACATGTTACAATGTTGTGCTACTCGATACAACAAAAAAATAATTAATCATATTACATTGTTAGATTTTATAGAAATGAACACAGTAGAATACTCACTCTTTATATATACACTACTGTTCAAAAATTAATGTTTATTTACCAAGAATGCATTAAAGTGACAATAAAGACATTTAGAATGTTACAAAAGATTTCTATTTCAAATAAANATGTTTCTTGAGTGCCAAATCAGCATATTAGAATGATTTCTGAAGGGTCATGTGAAGACTGGAGTAATGATGCTGAAAATTCAGCTTTGCCATTACTGGATTAAAGTAGATTTTAAATTATATTCATGAAAACTAACATTTACATTTTTAATAAAATAAATGCAGCTTTGGTGAGCATTAAAATATCTTGCCAACCCCAAACTTTTGGTTAGTAGTATATAATATATAAAATTATGTAATTTACTTACTAGAATTTATACAGTATAATACATTTGGTTGTTTTTCTCATGCACCATCTTTTTGTCCACCACAAATAATATTTTGGAAAATTTTAAAATATAATTTA